AACTTTCGTGCAAAGAGGTAATGCAATCCGAATATGAATCAAACATTTATTATCTTTTTTGTTGGGGTGATGGTGGTGATGATGGGTAAGTAGGTCTATATAGTGCAACAAAATTAAAGTAAAGAATGCCGTGAGAAATTTGTTTTTGTTTTATTTTGGGGTGGGATAACTAGCCCTCAAGGCAACAAGGGGGCAGGATATGATGATACATACAGAAAAAGTTAAACATTGATTAATTCGAGACATGATAAATTAAAAGAAAACACAAAAAATACATGTATTGTATTGTACGTTTTTCATTTCATTGATGTAAATTTATAAACATATAAATCAGTCATCGATGCAATGTAACAAATCAATATTCTGTTTGTAAACATATATATATATATATATATATATATATATATATATATATATTATAAATCACTTTACAAAGTGGACTGCTATCTGTGATGTCATTTTAAGGCACTGCCTAAAAGGGATTTATCCTTAACTGAATAGGGATTCTAACTATACATTGTTATCTTTCTTCGGTCCAGTGATCTCGAGGCAACAGACAGCAAGAACTACTGTATATAAAGGCCTGGTCTCACCGCCAGAACTTTGCTGGAGCGTTCCTTGAACGGTAGGGAGAGGGGGCCGAATTTCGACAACGCTCGTCACCGCGCACAAAATGGGAAACAAATCGAAAACACGGGCGTTGCCTTAGCGGTGCACCGCTGAAGCCGGCGTTGCTTTAGCGTTGGTTTAACGGTAGCGAGCGGTAGCGAGCGTTGGTCCCGCTCCGACACCTCCATACCAACGCCAAACCAAAGTTCATCACCGCAATGGATCGCTGCTTCAACGCCCGACACCGTTCCAGGAATCCCGTGTCCGCTCGTAAAACGCTTACAACCGCTCCACCAAAGTTTGTGCAACGTTTAATCACCGCCCGGGCAAAGCTGGCGAAGCAGCGGTGGTCCAGCGTTCAAGATTTCTGCGTTGGCCTAGCGGACGAAAGCGTCCACGAACTTGGGTCTAGCGGTGCCAAACTTTGACTGGGCGTTGTTGGAGCGGTGGTGAACTTTGCCGGAGCGGAAAATTGCCCGCTCCTCACCGCTCGCAATATTTTGTGCAGCTCAAAACTTTCGGAGCGGTAGGAGGGACCATCAGCGGTGGCCGAGCGTATACGGCGTTGCCTTAACGGGGGCCAACTTCTGTTAAACGGTGGTGAACGGTTACGAGCGGTGATGAATTTTTTTCACCGCTCCAGGAACGCTCCAGCAAAGTTCTGGCGGTGAGACCGGTCCTTAAACTTTCAATCTTTCCAATTTTATACAACAAAAGATAGCTTGGGAACCACTTCTATCTTTACGAATGGGATCCATGGTGTCCGCTTTAGGGTCCCTGGTTGGTTGCAAGGACAGTGCCCCAGCCAGGATCCAGGAGTCTGAGCCCCCGGAAGCTATAAAGTTTTGGCAGTTCAGAACATTCTACATAGCCGTCGTGAGTGAGAAAAACTCTAATCCATCCCTTGAAAATTTAAATTACACTGCCCCTATTGCGTGCTTTTTTTTAAAGACCCTTCAGATTAGGCCTTTCATCTCATTCAGTAGTAGAAAACACCCTAAAGCCTGGACACAACATTCAATGGGATGATGCCCGCATTATTGAGTTTGATACGCACCCTGGTCAAGAATGGTAGAAGAACCATCTGCAAAAAAAGGAATAATCCTAGCTATACATTGTTATCTTTCTTCGCAACAGTGATCTCGAGGCAGTAAACAGCAAGGAATTATGTAAATAATAACAAGTCAACGAGAGTGTTTTGTAGAAGCTTTAATTATATAAAACTCACATTCTCCAATTTTATACAACAAAAGGTTGTCTTGAGAACCACTTCTGTCTTCACGGATGGGGTGCAGGGGGAGAGCCTTTGCCAGGAGTCTGAGAGGGGGGGGGGGTTGCCAAAGACCACATGAAACATCACAGAGTACAGAAAGTATTTATCAATTTCATTCAGCACTCCAAATCCATTGAACTTTCTGCACTACAAAATGTCCAATCACTTTTGTCAAGTTAATATACAGAGATACTGGCCAAAATTAAGAGGGAAAAGATATCTACAAAAAGCACCTTTTTGGCTCTAATTTATATTTCGCACACTACATAACTCAATAAAATTGATATAAACTTGAATGTATATTAATTATCCATCTTTTGACATTTGATCCATGGTGATTAGATTTTTACTTATAGGTTATCTTTAAAATTCGATGTAAACACACAAAACACGTCCTCAATTCACTAATACACGTGTGATTTGGTGCTGCAAAATCCCTAAAAGTGCCCTCACTTTTCATATCTTGGCCTTAAACATGGGTCACTATTTTCTTCAGGATAATATTTCACACATATTCTCACTTAAGTGAAAATTCCAGATGCAAAATCCCGCAAAAATAATTTCCCACAAGTTCTTTTCCAATTCGCAACATTGTTACAAACTGATTGGTTTTAAATCAAAAAAAGCTAAAGAGGGTGGAGTACAATGGGAAGTACCAGAAAGCGTGCAACTTTAAAAGAATTTGGAGGAAAAACAAACAGCTGAAACTGGGAAAGCTGTTACTGAGTAAATTAAGGGATTAACATATATGTGAAAGTGTAAATCATTCATGCAAATGGAATGTGGCAAAACCTTAAACATGTGTTGCGTTTTGAATGGAAGTCCCTAATAATAGGTACCATTTTTTGTTGTTGCAAAAATGACCCTCAAAATGGGTAAAGACGCTTCAGCCGCACACCCCCGTCCAAACCAAATATGAGTACCCCCTTCCCCGGGTATAAACATGTTAAAACAACCATATTTAAAAGATATTAGAGGAAAAACAAACCTTGTGCAATATGTGAACTTTATAGAATATGACACTTTATTCCTTTGAATATATTGATTAATATCTATAATGCTATCATTCTTCCACATCTGTCCCATTGTACTTTGATATGGGGACATCGTGCAAAAACTTTACTGAATCAAGTGTATGTTTTACAGAAAAGAGCACTACGTGCAATAGGCCATTTTAACAATGTAACCAAATTAAACGCATAAGTCTTTGTGAAGTGCCTCAATACATATTATTTTATTCACCTGAAAAGAATAATAGTATTTCAATAGACATTATCCGTACTGCATACATAATTTTTGACAGGTTGGACAAATATTATGGCTTGACCTACCTAGCAACACTTAATATATGCAGTTTGCATTCTGACTATTGACATACTATTATTCTTATCAGGTGAATGAAATAACTTGTATTGAGGCACTTCACAAAGACTTGTGCATCAAATTTGATTACATTACGAAAATAACCTGTTACAAACTCTCACCCCAGAACCCCCTCTGAACTGCTTTTTAGGAAATTAAATGTACATACCATATTTCAAATAAATGAATTGCCAGTTAGATCATGTACAATAATTACCTTCTATTTTCGATAATATGTTCAAAATAACAAAGGATGCTCATCCAAATTTATACACAAGACATTCTAATGATTTATATATTATTCCATTGTTGAAATACCATACTTCACGTAAATCAGTAAAATATCCTGGAGTGGTTACTTGAAATGCAATACCAACCGATATAAAAAATGTGCCCATCACTTGCCTCATTCAAACGAAAATATAAACTTCAACTAATCAAGGAATTTCTATCTTAATTATGTTTAATTAGTCTGTACACATTTGTAAATGTACTATACCCACTCCTTCTTCTCTCTTTACTTTGTATACTTATCTGCGGCCCAGAGCCAAGCCTTTGAAAGGCCAATGGCTTCTGCTGGCTCCTCCTTATTCTTTGTATTGTTTATAGAAAGGTTATATAGAAAGGTTTTATTGAACAAATTCCATCATCACAGTCTTACAACTGAATTGCCATTGGAATACAATTAAAAAGTACATGTATTTACAAGTTAAAAGTACAATAGTCTTAGGACTATGACATAATATATATAAAAATATCATATTAAAAACTCTATATCAAATTCAATGAGTATGGAGAGAAAGAAGGGATGAATGAGGAATATGAGCAAGGAGCAAGAATCAACAAAAGGTGAGAGAAGTATGAAAGGAAAAGAAAGGAAGGGTAAGTAAGAGGAATATATCAAGAAAGATGAGGTGAAAAACGTGTGTAATGAGCTTTCTATTAATTAGCTTTAAAATGTACAGATCCTCATGGCGTGTATAAAGCATCAATATATAAAACATGTATACAAATTATTAAATTAAATGTTTGACAGGAAACATCAGGTATTGTAGTATTGTTTATCTATTTTATTATATATATATATATAATATTTTGTTGAATGTATTTTTACGAGAATTGAAATAAAACGAATGAATGAATGAAAGAACACATGATTCTTTCAGCAGTATTTGGTAAAATCAATACAAATAAACGAATCCAACTGTTTAATCCATTAAAATGTTTAATCCATTAAAAAAATCTTCAATATGACTTGGCCTTCCATACTGACTCACCCAACTAACGTTTAACCAGAACAACTAACTAATGAGCCTCACACTTTGCTGTTCTATCCAGTAACTCTCAGTTCTGGAATTATGTGATTTCTATAAAACAAAAACACAATTACCCTACAAATGTAAGTACTAATATCTTTAATATGACTTTAAAATATACAGTGAAAAACAATATCTAAAATGTATTGTGTATATCCACAGACACGTTAAAGTCGTTGACGTCGTTTCAGATAAAATACCCAAATAATAACAATGTATCCTGAATTTGAACAATTATGAAGTGATAATAAAAAAACATCATACAGTGTATGATATGCTTGAGCGCTAGTTACTTTGGCAGCTCGGCTACGACCAGGGTAATATGTGTAAAGCGCCATGAGCGTCAGAACCTGACGGATACCGGCGCTATATAAATAACCATATTATTTGTTTAATTATTATTTAGTATAACGACATGGTCGATATTCCGGATATCATTCTTATATAACTGCGACTTCTAATACATCATTCTCCACAATTTAACCACAGAACTACAAAGATAAAAAATATATCAACAACGGAAATAAATAATAATGTGACAATGTGCTAACAATAACTCATTCTCCTATTAGTGAGCCAACCATACCAAATAATGTAAGACTACATCAACATTCCTATAAAAATGATGATTAAACTTTCGCTTGCATAAAAACAAAAGTACCAATATAACCATTATCTTTTATCAGCATATTCACATAAATGACTCAATCATACCTGGAGTATCCTCAGCTGTAATCCAGCTCAACAACTCAGTATATGGCAACTGCTAGGAGTCACTGAAAACGTGTCTCTTATTGCAGACGCCCTAAGATTTAAGACATCGGCCTACATATCAAATATATAGTATGGTCATTTAGCCAATTCTACCTGCAATAAGCTATCCTCATTTAAACCAACCCAAAGTATATCTCTATTGATGATAGTATTGTATTACATACATGTAGTTGTTAGTATCACTAAAATATAATTTGCAATAATATGAACTGGTTCTGACCCAGTAAGGTCTGACTGTCTGACACATAGACTAGAGGAGGCACGATAGCTCAGTCGGTAGAGTGGTCTCGTAGTACGGCGACCCGAGTTCGAAACCAAGGCGATGCTCTAGTGCCCTTTGGTATAAGGCATTAATTAATCCTCATTACCAGGTCCCTCGGAGAAGACCTAAAGCCGTCGGTCCTCAGGCTGCCTACTAACAAGCATTTATGCTTTCTTAGCAGTCAGGTAAAATAACCACTAATACTACTAACATATAATTCACAATACTTATGAACAGGTTCTGACCAAGTAAGGTCTGACTGTCTGACACCTATACTAGTCATTATCCACTTAAACTACGAAACAAAGTCATGCTGAATAACTTTCAACAATGTGCTTCACTATGTGCCCTGTACCCTTTAAATAAACTACTGCTGTATTGTATCTCATTAAACAAGTAAAAGTCTCTATAAAAGTGAGCGAAGTCCGTTGTAGCTGTGTGACATCATAACTCTGTACAATACATTTATGGTTATAGTAACTTCATAATTTCAAATCTGATACTTAATCACATTTGATTATAAATTCACATTGCTCGAAATTAATATAGATTCACTGCAAAACAAAAAAAATCACATTGGTGACTGAGTCTATGTTTTCTTTCCTATACCTGTCTGTTGCAATATTCACCATCATCCTCTCCTTGCCATACCTTTTCTGGCGTGGCGTACTTCTCGAGGAATGGCAAGATGCGAGGGAACACATCCTTGGAGGCATCCTTCCCCATGACGCAATCCAGGTGTCCATACTCAGGGACCTGGAACCACTCATAGTCCTGATCAGGGTTCGCTTCCTTCAATCTGATGTAGCTCTGCCTCGTTGCCTCGATATCCCAACTTCTGTTCAACGATCCGACGAGATATAAAATTGGTATATCCAGCTTACTCATGGCCTTCCGATACTGTGGTGAATGGAGCCGGTTCTTCGACTTGAAATCCGGTGTATAGATGTCTTTGCCCTTGAAGTCGGTTAACTGTCCCTTCCGGAAGCAGACAGCGAGATGGTGATAGTAATCTTTCTGTCCGAAGCCAAACCATTCGGTCAAGGTTTCATGCGTACTGTCATTAATGTTGCGATGTTCCCACATGAGTCCGAACATTGAGGTTATCCTGTGACATACCGAATTACTGCACTGGTTCTTATTGTCGAGTGTAGATCGCGCAAGAGTTTTGGCCACCGAAGTCATCATTTTTTCTCGCACGTGATCGTTCTTGTCTGTATACGCATTGAGTCCTGTGAATCCGAATGCAACGGCGATGGTATCAAGCCTGGTACTTGCTTTGGCATGGTTCAAGGCTGATGCGATGATGCAGAATCCGGTTTGTGAAGCAACGAAGCATCGGATCTTCCTCCCGTCAATATGGCCCCCAAGCATAGCCATGTGCATCGTGAGAGAACCGACACAATGTGCCCAGACCTGGAGGTCGGGTGACTCAGTTGTCTTCAAAATAAAGTCTACAACAGGAGGTAGGTCTTTCTCTGCAGCGTCGTGCATTTTAGTAGGATTCCGATGTGAAGGAAGGGCTACTGAGAACCGCATTTCTAGGGCCCACATATCGTACCCATGCTCGCAGAAGAACTCTACGGCACTCTTATCTATTGTATCTAACGCAAAAATCCTGCTTGTGACACAGAGTCCATGAAGGAGCAGGATTGGTCCCTTGTTACCGCATTTGTAGCGAGTCATCAACAGAGGCACACCGTCGTTGGCCTTGATATGGTACACCTCGGGCTCGATGCCTTTCAGATTTAGAGGGCGCCTCTCACGTGCCGAAGTTTTGGGACAGAACTGTGTGGGAGAGAACATATTGCTAGTATGGATGATAACACCACCAAGAAAGAATCCTAATCTGGCTTTCCACTCTACTTCCAGTTTCTTGTCATCCCCCGGTCCTGTGATCGCAATGCCTGCAAGCTCTTTGGCAACATCCGCCAGTAAGGTGGAGACATGGCCAGTGGTCAAGGTCTCAGCCGTAAAACTTGGCCCTTTCTTGATGACAATACTCATTGAAGAGACGTCGGTTGCGTCATTCCCCGCGTCATTCCCGACAAACGTGTCCTCGCGGGCCGATCTAATGCCTTTGAAGAAGTAGTCCTCCTCTCCGAAAGGCAACAGCGTCTCGTAGACCATGCTTTCGTACTCCGAATTGGTTTCGCTGGACCGTTCAACGTAGAACTTGCCACCAGAAAATGGTACCGGTTCCTTGCATAACACTGCACAGTTGAACTCACCGATGATCGTTGCCTCATGACGAGGAGATTTCTCTATCATATGGATGACGTCATCTGTCCCAATGGTGACTGTGAAGTCGCACGGATGCTTGGAACCATCTATGTTCACGAACCCAGTCATGTGACTCGAGTAGTGCCCTCGAAGTTTAATTCCTTCGTTGCCTTTTCCTGTTCAACAGATAACGAAAAAACAAAACAAGATTATAATAAATTATTAGGATTAGGCATAGAGGGATAGCAATCAAACCACCTTTATAGAAGTGTGCACATTTATATCTGAATACTTTGACTAAACATATTTATCTAAGTTTACAGAAAAGGAACAATTGGTACAAATTAGAATTCCTTCGATTTTTGCGCAATAAATATTCATCTCAAATATTTAGAAATTAGATAGGTGCGCTTTGGAGTGCACATGGGAGGGGGAGAAAAGCAACAGGGTTACCAAAATACTTGAATGTGTTATGATTTCCTTCCCATTATCAAAACATAATTCTGTATACAATTCCTTCATCTCCTCCCCCTCCCTTTTTTTTCTCTCTCTCTTTCTCTCTCCCTCCCTCTCCTTCTTCTCCCTCTATATCTCTCTCTTTGCCTAAACCTTACAATCTGTTAAATATCAACAAAGTATCACAAAACAGAAAGTGCCCCGTCTCTTACAATAATTTCGCAGTGAGAAAGTCTTGGGAACGCTTTTATTTCCTCTGTTCAAAATTGCATTCGCGATTACTGTAGGGTGGCACAATAGCAAAAAGCATGGCATTCACTCACTTGATACGTGCATGATTTTGATTCTCTGCCTAAAAATCCTAGCGGGATTTCATGGGTATTGCTAAGGTATCCAGAACATGGCAGACGGATTGGAAAGGGTAGGAAAGCGAAAAAAAAAAGGGGGGGGGGGACGATAATGGGGTGCAAAGAGAGGAAGGGTGGGAGGAAGTGAGAGCAACATATCTTAACTCTAACAGCCCAAAAAATTAGCTAGTGTTGCTATTTCCTTGGAAATACTGGAGCGAGCGTTTACTAGAAAATCTCAAATTATTTCAAGAAGAGATTCTGTCGATTTTGTTTTTGGGGGGAGGGCGAGGGGAGAGGGGGCGGGACCTTAAACCAGAACTGGGGTAGTGGACGTCGACTCCGCTCTTTTATGGATACACCTGTGAGTCTAGGATATTTTCACAACCGTTTCACAATTGCTTAGAAATTGAAAGAAGAAAAAGGAAACAAGAGAAAGAGAAAAACAAACGGAAAGAAGGTAACAACAGGCAACATATTATTCTCTCGATCCTCCCCCCTCTGTCTCTCGCTCTCTCGCTTTCTCCCTATCTTTCTCCCCCTCTCCGTTATATATGGCACGCAGAACATTGAATAAATGGTTTCAAAGTTTGACTTTAGACAGACGAAAGGTATGAGATCAAGTGTGAAATTATAAAACCCGATGGTGGAGAAAGGCAAAAATGCTCATGTACCATTAATAACTTCACCTAGGCTTTTGCTATTTTTGTAAGGGAATGCAAAGTTTCAGGAAGGCATTTTCTCAGAGGCGTTTTCGTTTAAAATCACGCATTGAGTTAGTAAATGGAATGAGGGGGGGGGGGGCTAGTAATTTATAGCAGATGGCGCAGTGGCGGATCCAGGGGGGCACAGAGGGCACGTGCCCCCCCCGGCCCCCCAAAATATGCCAATGGCTGACCTAAAAACAGTGTCCTCTTACCCCCCCCCCCGCCTATTCATCCGCTGACTGAGTCATTGCGATTTTTTTGGGACCCCCCAAAAAAGTGTCCTCTTACCCCCCCCCCCCCCAAGAGTGCAGCGTTTAGACAAATACAAATGCAAAATCTTCTCGCTCGGGAACTTCGCTCCCTTACATAATGTCCTTTAAAGTGTACAATTAAATAATGTGTGAAATTGTGTGAAATAAGTGTGAACAATTATGTTTCCTATTTTTATACTATAGTTTTGCAAAGGAATTAATTTGTTAGTGCAACAAAACTTCAAAAACCTGTGAGGGGAGAGTCACTTCCGTCATCTTTACCCCTCTCTTTCACTATGCTCCCTCGCACGAGCGTAATGATAGGGGGTGGGGGATGGGGGGGCTTGGGGGGCAATTGGGGGCAACTCGCGAAAGTAACCTTCAAGATGAGAAAGGAGGAAAAAAAGTCAACAAAACGTACAGTGCAAGGCATCGATGTTATCCTTTATAGCAAAGTAAAGGGCACGAAGAATGGGAAGTGTATACGGTAGTGGTTGACATTGTGAAGAAATATCGAACGGGATAATTTTTCATATTTTGTCCTGGTATAATTAAGAGCTCAAAACTTTAATACTCGCTGTATGATCAGTCATGTTATTATGCTCTTTAAATTTCCAGCTACTTTTAGTACTTTGCTACGAAGTTTCTGTACTTTTTATGAGATATGATGACTACGAAATTAGAAATATCGTATATGTATTTTTGTTAAAGGTCCGAAATAATTGAATACGGATTTTTCTTATAATGAAGGGTGCTGGGTCTCGATAAACACCCATCTGTGTTTGATTCTGTATTTTATTTCCTTGTTATTTCTTTTCAGGGTTTGCTAACTTTAAATAAAAATGTCCGAAAATTCTTTTGGGATTTCAGTTACCATTTTCTCCTTTAATAAGCGAGTTCGTAAATAGCTCTGGATCGAACGCATGACCCCAAAATATCCACAGATCTTTGACACGATGGATACTTCCCACGTGTGCATTTTAGAATAATCACTGCCGAAGTGATGGAGGTGCTTCACGAATACCTTTTGTTTGCCTCTTGAGAAGAATACTTCCACCTGTGTATCAGATAAATGTACTGTTGGTGCATAAATGAATACTGATTACATAACTTTCATGAGCACGATCCGAGTATTCGTCTCAATGGTTTTACAATTTGGGTACGAATGACCTGGATCTGCCCATGCGCAAATCCTAATTACGAACTCGCTTTATTCAATCATTCTGCTAACATGGCGTCGCCTGGTAAATTTGTGTTTGTTAAATCGAAATACCTCTTGCTGAATCTTCAGCTCAACCAGCTGATTGGAAATTCTCGCGATTTGGCATGGAATTTAAATTTTATACATAAGCTGAAATGTTATTATTTTGTTTATAAACCTTTCTGATTTCTTTTCATAAAATGTCTATCCAAATAATTTGTACACATGTTTTCTGGTCTAACTGCCTACACATTAAGATGAAAGGCAGTGACACTACGAACATGACTGACAAAGAGAGCGGACAAAATATACAGTTCCTCAGGTAGACAAAGGAACATCCCTTCACTGCTATTATGTAAAAAGGTGAATATGCATGTGACACCTGCTCTACTCATTTTGACATAATAGCAGTGAAGGGATGTTCCTTTGTCTACCTGAGGAACTGTATATTTTGTCCGCTTTCTTTGTCAGTCATATTCATAGTGTGAGTCCGAGCAGTCAGTTTTGTATGGTCTCTCATTATTATTGCCTGAATTTTTGTGCGTATAGTGCAAAAGCCAAGACTGGTGGCTGTTTTCTGTACACCTATAAATTCGGGAATCCTCTGCCGCAAAGTGAATTTTATTTATGACCTTTAACAAGATACGCATATAAAGTGTGTTCCATTGAATGTAAGAGGTCTGAGGTCGAGCTTTAAAAGAATAAAAAAAAATTGGCTCCAATTGGCTCCAAAAAAAAAAAAAAACAATTTATTTTGCTTCAAGAAACTTGTAGTTCTCCAGACACTGTAAGTACTTGGGCGTCTGAGTGGAATGGCGAATTGTTTTTTCGCATGGTTCTGTACACAGTAGAGGGGTTTTGATCATGATTTTTAACAAAGGCTGTCGAATACAGTGTCGTATCTAAAATAATATTCTTTTTAGAACATTTTGTTACGAGACTACACTCAGTTGATGTACAATTCCAATTATAATGAGAAGTGACTTTAATATACTTATGAATACAAATCTTGACATACAAGCTGGGCACCCCCAGTTTTCCCAACAGGCTGTCAATGTACTTAATGGCCCGAATTCACAAAGGAGGTTTGTCGACAAACCTTGGTTTTCGTACGTCATATGACGCGTTTTACGCATTTTTTACAAACCTGGTTTGTAAAGAACAATAGGAGGTTTGGCGAAACAAAGGGAGGTTTGAGCTCAAACCTTGGTCTGAGCTCAAACCTTGCTTTGTGAATTCAGGCCTCTGAGATGCAAAGTGAACTTGATACCATGGACATCTGGAGAATTAGAAATCCTACAATTAAAAATATTACATGAAAACGTTACGACCTTTAATTCAGAGCCGCTTAGATATTTGGTTATTTCTGAGATCTTACAAGCTGGACTATGTATTGAAGGTTGACATTGTTCCGGGAGTAAGCTCTCACCATTCTGCTATTGTTTTAGAATTAAAAGTTCAAACAAGGAAAAGGGTGAATGCTTTCAATCCCTCTTACGCTTACTAAACCGAAATACAAATTCATAACATATTCTATATTCTAAATCGACAAAACGATGCCAAATCAAATTATGCGCTATACAAGAATGTAATAATTACGTCTACCCGGAGGTAAAATGCTTCCTCCAATGTATATGACTTATAATGTTATAGTTAGATAATTATCAACAAATTAATGTCCGGTATGACATCAAATTAATTTCCATTGATCCTCGTACTTGAGGAAACAGACAACAGTGCCAGATTTAGCCTGCATGTTGAAATTAAACTTGCGGTTTACACACATCAAGAAAGGGATCCAAAATATGTCTTACCATCGGTCTCGTCTTTGCTCCCGTGATGTCCCATTATGTAACGAAACTCACAACTCAACTATTTTCTTGATGACGAAAATAAGGACAGTGATAGCTTCTAGCTTGGTGGTAAAAAAAAGCCTAAAGTGTATCCAGAAAGGATGTTACGTGGTTGATAGCTCTCAGCGATAATGATATTAATTGAGCAGATTCCGAGTCTGTATAGCTGCCCGTTGCATTGGCTCCGAAATATTCGGCGGATTCGGAAGACTGCACCGGACCTTGTTGGATTTTACAGGTAGAGAATAGTTCCTGAGCCTCGCAGTTACGCTCCAATCTGACGTCGCAGGAATGTGTGTGTGTGTGTGTGTGTAATAAGCGAGTTCGTAGATAGCTCCGGTACGCATTTACATAACAAGCATTTGTTGGCGGGGGGGGGGGGGGAGCAGGTCTAAATTCCAGTTGGTTCCAATTGAAACTAGTTAGGATTTCCAGCTGGTATGATTTAAACTGGTTTAAACTGGTATCAACTGGTACCAGTCAAAACCAGTTGATACAACTTGGAAACCAATAGAAATACCAGTTTAAAGTCGGACAAATAGAATACCAGTTGTTACTGGGGCCTGTAGATTACTTGTCTCATCTAGTGACCAGTTTGGAACCAATAGAAAATACAAGTTTGAACTAGGATCAGTAGAATTCCAGTTTAACTGGGACCAGTATCCAACTGGTCAACTTGTACCAGTTAAAACCAGTAGTTAACTGGTACCAGTTGAAACCAGTATATTCAATTGTCTTTTTAATATGTAAATTGACACACTTTCAACTGGGACCAGTTGAAAACCAGTAAATGATTACCAGTTGATTTACCAGTTGAAAAAAAGTACATCCGACCGAAATATCTGTTTGTTCCTGGGGGGGGGGGGGGGGTTCGTGTGCAACATAATAAGAAATAAATAACTCGATATTCTGTTATGTTACAGGGTTTCTCACACTTTTGCTTTGACGGTCCAAATAAGATTCATACGAAAGCTGTCAGATCCGAAACATGCGATGCCAATGTGACAATGTACAATATGATTGCGGGACAGCCGGGCACGACTCAAAGGTTGCTCAATTTTGTTTCTGACTTAGCCAATCTACTCCGCCTAAATTTTATAGTAATGACACTTGTATACTGAAGATAATGAGGCTTGTTTTAGGTCTATATCTGATCCAAAATTAGCTGTTACAGTTTAAAACCCCAGAGCTGTCAGTGCTTCCACTCGTTTAAATGGAGTTTCCTGCAAAAGAACACCCATTTTCCTTCATTAAGAGGAAAGGGGTAAAGGTTAACATTTCTCAGCGGCGAATCCAGGATTTTTCAAAGGAGGGGGGGGGGGGGGGGTTCGAAGCCAACGAGTGAGCAAAGCACACTGAAATTGCGAGTAAACGCTAGCCCTTCTGGGTGGGGACCAGTGGCAAAGCATAAAGACGTTTAAATATATATGTACGATCTATGTTTAAATGGGGGGGGGGGGCATTGATGTATGTAGAAAAAAGCAGGATTATGATCGCATGCAACGCTTCGAAATGGAAAAAAGAAGAATAAGAAAAAATAAAGTACAGATTCGACCTGTTTGTCTTATTATAGACGCTGCATAAAACATTTTGTATTGGCATTCTACTATCTCAGTATGATTTTAGACGTTATTCATATTGATTTTGAATATTAAGGTATCTGTGCCATAGAACAAAAGACTTCAGGTCAAAGTGACCGATCGGTTTATTTCTTTATTTAGAGTTTGTTTCTACTTGTTATTCCATTTTCATTTTTAACCCTCGAAAACGCATATTTTATTATGCATTTAACCCAAGAAAATTTGCAAAGGAAAACTTCAATCGAGTTTTGCATTCTAAACGGTTTTCTATTATTCACTCAATCGAGGCTCAAAACTAACTAAACCTAGGAAAATATATTGTTGAGCAATTCAGTTAGGCAGCCGAAAGTTAGGATTTTCATTCGCTATGTTATATCTTTGCAAATGATATTTGCCTCCTCCGTCCCCTCCCATACACCACCGCAATGTAAGGCTTAGCAATTATCGATGGTACGATATGTAGACTGATTAATCTTGAGATCTATTGGTTTTATATAGTACATGACTCAATTGCCAATATTGCAATAAATCAATCCCCAATGTATCTTTTAGCAACCCAGGTGCCAGATGAGAATGGAAATTAACCATTCCGCCATTGGGCCTTATTTTACCCGTTCTACTAGAATACACTAAACTAGGCATCAAAATGTACTAAACCTCCTTGATGCTTACACATTAGGTGATGTATGTCTCGCCCAATACAATTCGAATCTTTTCAAAGCGTGACCAGATTTAAAGTATGCTTAAATGGGGGGGGGGGGGGGGCATTGACGTATGTAGACAAAAAACAGGATAATGATCGCACGCAACGCTTTGAAATGAAAAACTCTTATCCATCCTTGAAATTTAAATTTCACTGCCCCTATTGTGTGCTCTTTTTAAAGCCCTTAATAAAGGACACAATATTCACTGCGATAATGCCCACATTCTTGAGGTCGAAACGGACTTCTGGTCAAGAATGGTAGAAGAATCCATCTGGAGAAAGAGGAATAAGCCTTCACTGAATAAAGACTCTGGCTTGTTACCTTTCTTCGCTCCAGTGATCTCGAGGGAGCAGACAACAAGAAATTGTGTAAACAATAAAAAATCCACGGGAGTGGTCTTTAGAAGCTTAGCTACACAAAACTCACACTCTTTCCAATTTAATACAACAAAAGTTTGTCTTGTGAACCACTTCTATCTCTATGGATGGGATATAGGGGCAGAGCCTTTGCCTGGAGTCTAGGGGAAGAACCCCAGGAAGTTCTTGATTTGTACAAATTTAGACAATTCTAAATAGTCGTCACGAGCGATAGAAATGGAAATTTCCTCCTTAAATATCACAAAGCCACTTTTATTTCATTTTAGAAATAATCTCTCTATCTTTCTCTTAAACATAATTTTAAAGATTATTTTCCCGCATTGTTGTACTTTCGTCCGCAGACTCCATAGACAAATGTTGAGCAAACTCACCGGCAATGTAATCTGTAAGTGTAAATTTAAGTTTCTTGTTCTTTCTTTTTGGTTTCTCTCTCTCTCTCTCTCTCTCTCTCTCCCTTTCCTCCATCCTATATTCTTCTCTTTAAAAATACGAGTCCCCCCGATCAACCAGTGAATTAAACGTTGATACAGGCGTTACGCATATCTTGCGCTGGAATTTGGTTTCCTTCCTATCTAAGATAGTACGTAGCCGACCCGTTACTTTAAGTAGCAATTTTTATTTTATTTGTATATTTCTTCTTTTCCCCCTCTCTCTCTTATTCCTTTTCCTCTCTTCTTCTCCTTTTTTTAATAGGTTGCAATAAAAAGGGGACCGCAGCTGATTTGATACTTACCTGGATTCCCCATTGTTCCTAAAGCTGAAGAAATAAAATTATAACATGGGGAAATGTTCAATTTTCAGGATTTTTTTATACACTCATTTAGATTTTTTAAATTTTTCTTTGAATTTCTTTCAAAATACCTTGACACTATCAAAATTCTGTATATTTCTTAAAATAAGGCAATTGGAGGCTCTGTCCCAGGCGGTCTGAATTGGCATGCCCTGCGTTTCGGACTTTGAGAAGCCCTGATCTACCTAGGCCTATATAGTAAAATCAATATAAATCGGTATTATAATCAGCTTCAATCGATTAGCCATGGTTCGCCATGTGCCCGAAAACATCAAAATAAAAAAACTATTATTTAATGCAGCATCGAAGGATACCCGTTATTTTGAATCTATCTCTCTCTCTCTCTTTCCCTGTCTCTCTACCTCTCCCTCCACTCTCTCAATTTATCTTTTTTTTCTCTCGTACTCTCTCTTTCCCTCTCTTTCTCCTCTCCCATGATCCCATCCCCATTCCGTTTTTCTCCCCCTTCTCTTTTTTCTTCATCAGCTCCTTAAAATATCTTCTTTAACTGAACTTCAAACTATCATGTTTCAAAGATGGGTCTTTATTATATATTTACGCAAAAATACAAATTTGCAAAATTGCAAGTGTTGTGAATTAGGATATCATAAGAATGGCATACGTCTATTAATACATCCGTACAGTTATGCAGGTATTTTAAAGCATACGTTTTCAAACCAACCTTTTGGTTGCAATGAATGAATTAATAAATAACAAATTGGATCATGGTGCTATTCCTAAAACGAAGTAAGTAAAAAATAGAAATTACGTGATGCATACTGATGACATTTAAGAATCTTCACATAGAGGAACAACAATTAATGTCTCGGATATTCTGAAATATGGTTCAAATTACCTGACAACCCCGGCCCCCCCCCCCCCCCACTCCGAGAACGGACGGACCCCATGCGTGTTGCCAAAATGTCCTTTTCGTAACAAAAGAAAAAGGTCGACCCGTATTGACTTTACACACCGGACTTTTGCTGAAAAAGGGGGGGGGGGGGTGCTGAAAAAGGGTCGTATATAAAAGAAAAAGGTCGCTCTTCCACCCAAAAAAGAGCCCCCGTGAGCCTTCTCACGGGGGCTCTTTTACTACTGACGGGGGCTCTTTTTTTATACAAATATCCATTGAATTGGTACCTATGATACTCCTCAATTATTTGCTATTTCATCATTATCATTTCAATCAGCATTTTCCCTCTTACAAATTTACAAGCTACATAGCTGTTACTGGCCTGTGTATATAATATATACGCATACAACACTGATATTTATGATGTCTTTAACGTGACATATCTTCTTCTCCCCTTGCAAACGAGAAAGAAAACAAGGTCATTAAAAGGGATTAAGCGACAAATAATGATTGTGATTCAAATTGATGCGAATATTTGTTTGAATAAGCACTGCTATTCACCCGAATCTTCTTTGTAAAAACAACTTTTACAAATCTCAGCCATGCTTACTGAGTTGAGACTTTCCATTCAATGTAAAATACTCATTAAAGAATACACTTCTCCTAATCTGAAAGTGATCTTACAACACAGTGGCAGATTTGCACGGCTGAGATTTGTAAAAGTCGTTTTTACAAAGAAGATTCTGGTGAAAAGCATTGCTTATTCAAAAAAATCCTTGCATCAGTTTGAATCACGATGATTAATTGTCGCATGATCCTTTTATTAAATAACCTTGTTCTTTTTTTTGTTTGCAGGGGGAGAAGAAGCTATGTCACGTTAAGAAATCATAAAGATCAGTTGTATTATGCGTATATACATATGATACCAGAACAAATGTTGATTATCAGAATGTCATTTTGGAATACCTCTATACAAATA